CATAAAGGAATGTCAAGAAATGCTTACACTAATAGTAGAGTGAAAAAATAAACCATCTAAAAACTATTTAGTTATAATTAATAAATCTTCTAGCTAGTGCTAAATTTCTTGCCCTGAGAGAAGAGAAGTGTTTGTATATATATATCAATCATCTTCTCGTTAGTTTTAACTTTCCACACTGAAGCTGTTTTAAAGGTATAAATAATACGCTTTTTACGAAGTAATAAGCTCTCTTTTTAAAATGCTACTTATAAGCCAACAAAAATGTAAACAATTAAAGAGAGAAAATGAAGTTTCCTCACCACAGATACAAGGCGATTTCGAACGATCTTCAGAAAGGTAATAATTTGTTATTTATACGTTTCTTTTTTAGTCCAGCTTATCGTATTCTCTTGCATACAGGAATATACGTTTCACTTGTAAGTGTTAATATGATTTCGTGCAAAAAGAAAAAAAAACGCATGACACTTTCTGTTGTAGATAGAAATAAACAAATGAATAGAAAACACTATACAAGACAGTGCTTTAATTTGTTTTTGTCGTAAGGTTGAATTTACATTAACACCCTCTTTTCGTATCTAACATAAATAAATGTTTCATGTTTTGTCGCTATGACAACCAAATTGCAAACAACCGATGTACAAATGATTTTAGTAGTCACGCTTTCGCTCAACAACAGATCCTACAACTGTCTGTTTTTCTGCTAATGTAATAACTCACTTCCCGCCGTGAGGCAGCTTCGATTTATCATCTATGGTCAAGAGGTCAAAAGGGGGATTTTTTATAAGCCTCATGTTCCAAAGTCTTTCATCTAAGGTCCTAGGTTACGTGACACAGTTCACTCAGAAGTGATAATACGAACCTTGCCCACTTCAAAATTTGAAATTACAGAAAGACTTATGATATGGAAGTTAACAGCATGGCTTATACTGTACTGATTGACCCTTTGACTTTATAAGAATAGAAAGTGTGATTTGTTTATCTCTTTGTTACTTTGTTTTACCAAGTGTCGTGATGTGAGAGAAAGGACAGTAGTTCACGTTAAGGCGACAAACATGCTACTTCATGACGTCATAGAATGAACAGAAAACAAAAAACACGTTGCATTGTTAACGATCCTCACACAAAATTATTGTCAGTCTAAAAGTAAATTAAATTTTCTTGGAAAACAATCGGAAAATTAACAACCCAATTATGAATACGTCCACTAAGTTTAATTTATAAATATTATCAGTAAGTAATATACTCCTATATAGATGTGTACTTACTACAAGTTTAAATTTTGGTTCTGTGTATACTTTAGTTGAGTTACTGTTTTTTTTTTAAATTCGGGCCTCATCGGACTCAGCTCTTTAGCAATGTCAGAGAAAATGTCGAAACGATGAGGATTTACATCATTCCCCGCTGTGGTTTGCTTAGAATCATGCAAATATTGTAAAGGGTGTGAAATCCCCAAAGCTTATTGGAGTCTGCTTGGAAGCCATATAAATGCAAATAAACATAAAAAGGAGAGAAGAGGTAGAGATATAAAGTTTAGAGTACAGGTAAAAAAAAGGGGAAACCTATGCACATGTGGTTGATAGTACAGGAACATGAAAAGATGAAACTTTCTAGCAACAGTTTCGTATGAACGGTGGTTTTGTATATAAGAATTTGTGTGGTCTAGTAAATGAAGAGACAAAACTTCTATGACCTTATAAATCCATTACCACAAGCAAATCTCCTGCTTTTCCAGGAACACTTTAATCCACACCAAAGAGAGTTACAAACTTATATGAATGTCTCAATAAATGTAACAACTAATGTTTTTTGTGACAGGTTTGCTAAATAATTATCAAACACTCTATAAGCTGAACATTTCGCAAAAAAATAAAGAGCCATAAATAAAGGTTATCATGCTTTAGTTTGTTTTCGTACTTCGGTTGACATGGAAAGAACACACAAAGAAATTACTCAGCAGTAACTAAATCCTTTTAACCATCTATCACTTACTTGATCACCGATGACACCAGAAAAAATACTTGGGTCACGTACATTAGATGAGAAAAGACGTTATAGAAACATGCGTCTTCTCACTGGTGCTCTGTACATCAACTTACGCAAAAATACTTTTAGAAGAACAGAGCATTCAAATAACACTTTCCAACAAAATACACATGTGGATTTGACTAAGGGACATGATATGGGTAATAATGTACAAAAGCCTTGGGTTTTTAGCAGAAACATCATACGATTTTCAACAGATTCTTCAATTATAACCATCCTGTACAATCGTATGCGCTCTATAATTACAGGAGCGTATCCTTTTAAAGTGTATACGTATAGCAAATTAAAACAAAGTACATTTAAATCTTATGTGGCATCAATTAAAATATATTAGTTAAAAGTATATTGATAAATAAATTGGAAGGATTAGTGATAGGCATACTAATCGTTAATGTAATAATTTAGATGAGTTTAAATAAATTTTCTATTTTTGTGTGACTTATGTACATAGTGTTGTTCATCAATGAAATACGCGAAACACATATATTTACGTAATTACAAAAACATAATTTACGTTTGATATTTACTTATATAAGTTTAACTAATTGCAGTTTCCATACTCTTCAGCATCAATTTAAAAATAGGACACAGTAATATATTATTTGTTCGAGAAATATGGAAAAAATCTTACTTTCTTTGAAAAACACGTGTAGACATTAGAAATATTTAAGAGGTGATTATATTATGATCTTTTATCATTCTCTCTTTTCTTTGAGTTCTCCGAGAATCGGATAAATAGTTTGTAAACATTATAAACAAAGAAAGAAATCCCTAAATACTTCTTAGAATACTTATATTAACAGAAAACGAAAACTATGGAAGTTATTTAGTGAACAGCTTTCCTTCTTTCTCTGGAGAATCTAAATATCTTTACTACATCTGAACACTTGTTATGTCCACACTGTAGATCAATAATGAAGGTTCACGCGTTCTGCCCTGTCACCTTCGAGATGGACAAGTTTCGCCAAACTCGGAACCCGCTAAGCCAGAGTTTCGAAAGTCGATGAACCCTTCAAACCCGCATTCTGCGGTTCACACCCGTACTCTCTTGGTGCTAATACGTATAGCGCATCGTTTTGGCGTTATTCGAGAATGAGCACTCTAAAGCGGAAATCATCCGATAGATTTTTGTTCTCGACTTAGATTAAAATCTATTCATAATTTAAGTGAAGCGTCGTTACACTAAAGCCATAGAATACTATTCTGTAGATACAAAGATTTACCGTAGAGTCTAAAGTAGTTATTAAATCATCCGATAGACTTAGATTAAAACCTATTCATAATTTAAGTGAAGCGTCGTTACACTAAAGCCATAGAATATTATTCTGTAGATACAAAGATTTACCGTATAGTCTAAAGTAGTTATTAACGGCCCATCCGACTAAGTTCCGAATCCGTTCGTTCATACATCATTGTCAATGATTGAAACATTGAAACAAAAAAGTAAAAGTAAAATGCGCCTTTTTGTCTATCGCTACTCGAAGGAAACTGACCGAATGATAAGTGAGATTACATCAAAAACGTATTAACTGTATTTTTTAATGCTGTTTTGATATAATGTTGAAATGAAGTTAGCAACTTAAGGAACATCTATATATCTACTTTATAAAAACGGGAGAATAAGGCCTAAGAATGCAAAGTTTGTAACTTACTATGAATAAATGGCTGTTTTCGATAGATTAGTATAAACACCTGAAAATGTTTTTAGTATTTTCTGTTGAAAATTAAGTCACTTATTATCTTATCTTTACTATTTTCTGTTAAAAATTAAGTCACTTTTTATCTTAGTACTCTCTGTTGAAAATGAAATTACTTGTCGTCCTTAATGTTTTATATTAAAAACTAAGTCATTTAAAATATTTAGTATTTTTAGTTAAGTATTAAGTTCCTTGTCATCTTTAGTTCTCTCTGTTGAAAATGAAGTCATTCGTTATCCTGTATTTTCTGTTAAAAGTTAAGGCCTGTTGACATTGTAAATATAACATATCTCTTGTTATATCTTCAAAATATATCTTATTGAATGAAATGAAAATAACAGACAGATTCAAATGTTCAATTGTTATTTTCTTGTTAAAACAAGAAATTAAAACTCTTGATTTGTCGAAATCAAACTTCAGAGATGTTATAAGTCTTTTCTCGTTTGGCTTATGATAATAAATAAACCGTTTTAATCAAATGTAAATCCTGCATCTGTCTTTACTTTTATTTCCTGGTTACAAACCAGAAGCATGCTCAAATTATTTAATGTACCTAATTAACCACATGGTTGCACAATGCGGGTAATTTCAGTACAACTAATTAAGGTACTCTGACTCGTGATTAAATGTTGTTGTTGTTAAAAAATTAAACACCTTGAACACACTGACATGTAATTTTCGCTATACTCAAAAAGGCAGTACATGTATATATTTAAACACCTAATATAAATGTTTAACTGACAGCGAATATTAACGGCCAGCTTATTCTCTTTTTCTACGTTAAGCAAATCTGAAGAAAGGTACTTTTAAGTGATGTCTTTAATAGTAAATTTGAAGAACCTTTGATTACACAGGCTTATTAAAATAAGTTTTCTCTTAAGAATATTGAAAAAAAAATACAATATTGTATAAATTTAGAACAGCATTCAACTTGGTAAATATTTGTAATAAAAATGGCTTTGAGTGGTCACAAGGAAATAAAAATGAACGGTCAAAGACAGCTACATTTGGAAGTAGTAATTATAAGAAAAAAAATTCCTAAGTCCCATTCTTTGTTACATAATGATAATGTAGAATATACTTATTAAATTGTGAAGCAAATATATCTTTTCTAAGATACACTGAAGTTTGAAAAAATAAACATATCTAGCAAAATTTAGAGTTGAACAGTAATTATAATTGGGATTCAATTTATGGCATGTCTTTCGGTTAGTAAAATTACACATTTTTTTTGAAAATGAAAGCGAAAACACACACCTGCTACAGGAGATAACTTGCTGACAACACACCATCGAGGTTTCCACTGCAAAAAGTAAAAACAAAAAAGAAACTTATATTGACTTTTGGCTGAACCACGTCCCGAGAAATTGTATCAAAATTTTTAACCTACAAAGATCTCCGAAAAACAAAAAAAAAGTACGTAGTTGTTTTCACAATACCTTCTTGCCATCACGGTACTTGATGGATCCTTCGATGATCGTTTTTGGATCGGACATGATCCGCTTCGACGTGATTCACAACATCATTTACCGCACAGAAGCAAAAACTTCATGATTTACGTGGAAGCAGCCAGATGCAGGAGATATATATCTGATCCCACAATAGCGCTCTCTATAACCAACGCGCGTTAGTACCTACGAGACGGCACTGAATCGCCTACTCACTGCTTCTAAGAACGACACGAACAAAACAAATTTTTCGTTACCTTCTACCATACTAGCGCCACCTCGTGTTTTATTAACTCTCTAAAAAGTTCGAGCGTTGTGTTCCTTTAATATTAAAGTAAAATTTCAAATTACACTTTACATTACATAGGGCAAACACTTGTAGAAGCTTTCTAGATGTGATGACAGGCTAACGAATTTTTTTTTTTTGGCATGAAACATATTACATGAATTCATAACACACCAGTCATATTATACCAGCAGCGACATAACCACAATTATGAGACAGTAATAAACATTACGAAGAATTTCCAAACATGACACGTACATCCAAAAGTACCAAACAAATGCTATCAGTCATGAGTTACTAAAAATATTGTTTAACATTTATTAATCGTATTAAATCAGTTATCTGTTTGTTTGTTTTAGAGCAAATCCACACTGGGCTATATGCTGTGTTCACTGAGGGAAATCGAACCCTGGATTTCAGTGTTGTAAACTTACCGCTGTCCTACCGGGGGACAGCAGTTATCTACCACAGTTATTAAGCTAGAAGTTATCAGTAACAAAATACGAATTTCAGTCACATTCCAACAATTAACCGATAGTTACCAGACATACTTTTGAAATACTGTTTAGCTATTGGAACACCTTTTAGTTGTTCATAATGATTTTCTTTTTATATGAATTCGAATACTGTAACCCAGCCTCATACTTATAACAGTTATACACAAGTTCGCCATAATCGCTACAATCGAAAGTTCTAACACAACACCTACATGCAAATGTTTACGACCATTATGTTCTTCAAAGCGACAGGAACACGGAGGCTAAATTCTCCTCAAAAAAGAAATGTAACTTATTAATCTAAAACATTGACTTATAGTGATCACGAACTGTGATGTATTCACTTTATCTCAAATCGTATTATTTTGTCCGTAAGTGCATCTATGACAACGTAATCCGGCCTATTATTGCTCAACAAGTAGAACACACGTATAAATGTTATGTAACAACGCACATCGTGACCAGAATACAACATGTATTGTATAACATAATTTATTCAATTAGTGTAAATTCTTTCAGTAATTAGAAACAATAAAAAATATGCAATATATATCAGGTAATGTACTCTCTGTCTGAGTATTTTCAGTAAAAACACGATATGTCCTTATCATTAAAAAGAAGAGCGTGAAATACACAGTGTTTGACAATGACTAAAAAACATATCTTACCTATGAACACCTTCGGTCCAAGAAATACGGTATATAGGTTCCAATACAAGTTGGATGCATAACATATTCCACCTTTTAAGGTTTACAACACCGGACGTGTAGCGCGTATTTATATACCTTTCACACGCACGTGATTTAACTAACCCGATTTGCGACACCGAGGAGAACATGTAGCGCGTATTCATATATCTTTCACACACACGTGATTTAGCTAACCCTATAATTTTTTCATAAAAAGTAAGTTGTTTGTCTAATTTTACGGAACGCTACTAGAGGGTTATCTGCGCAATTATGTCTAATTTAGAAGTGATAAACTAAAGGTAAGGCAGTTATTCGACATTACACATCACCAACGCTTGGTCTACTCTAATCGAATAGTGAGATTGACCTTCATATTATAACACCTCCCTGGCTGAAAGGACGAACATGTTAGGTGATAGCATGCAAATCCGCGAGTCTGGTTGCGAGTCAAGTGCTCCAAACCACTAGGCCTAAAAAAAAAGTAAGGTTTCCTTTTTTTAGAACGTAACTGACATGTAAACAAAATAAAATGGCAAGATTGTTTGTGTCGCGAATCTCGTTTTTTATATGCGTTGCTTACTTACACAAAATCATCAATGGACGAAAGCGGAGAAATTAGTAAAGTGACAAAAAAAATTATTTAATAAGTCACAAACAAAAAATATAGTTTTTTCACAATTAGTAGTGTTCGAGAATTGCAAAAAAATTTAAATTAATTTTATCCTAAATATATTATAGACGAATCAAAACAAGCAAAACAAAAAATAAAATAAACGATGAATGTTATACTTTC